AAGCCTGGTGTGCTGCAGTCCGTGGGGTCAAAGAGAGTCAGACACAACTTGGCAACTGAACAACAACAATGGCTGGGTAATACTCTGAAGTAGTATTCTGGCCACCTGATACAAAGAGCTGGCTCAGCGGGAAAGACCCTGATGCTGGGTAAGACTGAAGGCAAAAGGAGAAGGGGGTAGCAGAGGATTAGCTGGTTAGATAGCAACACCAACTCAATGGACATGAATTTGAGCTAACTCTGGGAGATAGTCAAGGACAGAGGAGGCTGGTGTGCTGCAGTCCATGGGGTCGAAAGAATCTGACACAACTGAGCGACTGAATGATAACAATATTCTGAAAATGTTCTAAAACTGATGGTGGTGATCGGTTGCAAATATCTGTGAAGGTATAAAAAATACTTGACTGTACACTTTAAATGGGTGAAGTATGCAATACCTGAATTCTATTTCAATAATGCTTTTTAAGTGGATGCAGTGAGAAGGCTACTGCAATCTTCCAGCTAAGCGATAATGGGGGAGGGACAGAGGGGTGGACAGATGGAGGGGAAGAGAGACTCCAGGAAAAAGCAGCTTGGATAGAAGTGTGGGTCCTAGAGACTGGCTATGGCGGGGGTTGGCGGGGGCAGTAACGGGTCACGGCCAAGCAGGGGGCACTTGGGGAAAGCCAGGACTGAGCCCCTGCTGTCTCAACCCTACGCTCATTTCCAGACTATGAAAGATGGAGAAAGCATCGGTTTTCTCCTTCCCCTGTAAAGGTGCTGTTTGAAGAATGACATCTCGCACTCTAGGTGAGGAAGACGACATGTAGCCTCCTGGATTTGCACAGACACGGGGTCAGAGCCTGGAGAATGGAACGTCCTTTAATGGAAGGGCTGAAAACAACTAGGGAGCGTTCAGAACAGACCCACCCAGCAGTTCTGTTCAGTGAACGCTTCCACCGTGGGACCCCTCGGGTGTCCACCGTAGCTAGTGAATCACAGTGAAGACGTGATTCAGCGCCTGAGCGAATGCCACATATATAATACCTTTCAAGAAGACGTATTTTTATTGCTGCACTTGAGGACAGCCCCTCAGAATCCAGAGTTCATCAAATCGATGCATCGGGCAGCATGCAAGGCCCCAAGTTCACTGGGTGGTGGGGTGGGGAGGGGGGGGGTCTCTCTGCCAGACCAGCACGGCCTGCAGTTCATACCAGAGGTCCTCTCACTCCAAGGTGAAGCTGAACTTGCGTGAAGATGCCTGCTTCACATGGCATTTAAGTGTTGTGCTGAGAACTCCGAAGAGGAAGGAAAAAAAAACAAAACCCTGCAGTATTGATGATGGGCCTATTATTTACACAGAAGTGCTTGTTGCTTGACAATTTAGATAAAAATGTTACTGCCTCTCTGCATGTGCTGCAAATTCATGGTGTAAAACCACTGGAGCAACTAATGGAGTCTTCACACATCATATCTTGTTAAAGACGAGGGGTCCTTCCTCCATCGGGGTCACAGCCCAGTGGTGGTGGGGGGCCACCCAGGAATGCAACCTGGCCACTAAGAGCTGCTGACTAACTGCCCACAGCTCCTGCTTTTTTTAAAAAAAAGAAAAAACATGAACTCTGTTTTCATAGCCTGGCCACCACGGGCTACTGACCAACTACCTACAGCTTCCTCTTTTTTTTTTAAACAAAAAAAAAAGTGAACTCTGTTTTCAAACAGCAAGGTCCTACAGATGCTGGTTTCCCATTTATCCCCCAGTGCAGCAATAGCTTAAGAAATGCTGGACACTCACACACAATTTATATCTCTCTACTTCTGACCAACGAACAACCTATCTACTCCTAGGAGTCCTGGAAAAACATCTTCAAGCCCTCGACCGTGTTTCCAGAAGTAACTGAAAAAAATTCCAGTGCCAAGGGCACAAATGGGGAATTGACGGCTAGGCACCAAAAAATAATACTCGTTGCTATTGTATTTCTAACAAATGTGGATAATGAGGTCATCCGTCCATTTTACTATCCAGTTCATCACCTTCATGTGCACTTTTAATTGAAACTTAACCTTTATATGCCATCCTCCAAGCGACAGCAGGACAGAAATACATCTCCAGAGGGGAAGATGGTGTGAGTTTTTCTCCAAGTAAATCTCTCAAGCAACACTACCCTTACTCTCCTGTTGAGTTGAAAGCAAACTCTGAAACGCTACTGGCTTTTTCAGCTCTGATCGTCCATTCCAGCTTCTTAGGCCGGTGCGGGGATAACCAAGCTGAGCCCATCACCCCTCTTCGAGAGACCCCCGGTGCAGCCCTTAATCCCCGCCAAGGGCTCATTCCTCCGACCCTTTCCCCAGCCAAGCTGCCCATCTCCACCAAACTCTCCCAAGGAGACAGAGGTGAGTAAATGTTAAGTCTACCAACTCATTTCATAGGTGACCTCTGAAAGATTCCACCGCGGAGCACGGGAGAGCCGAGGCAGCTTTATTAGCATGCTGCACCACGGCCCCAGCTCCCTCCCTCCCTCTTTTATGAGCCCCTGGTATATAAAATGCCACAAAGGAAAAAGGAAAAACAACACGCTCACAGCGACAAACACAAGTTCCAATGGCCAGGACAAACGCTGGCCGCTTCCCAGACGTTATTTTTAGTCATTCAGAGAGAAATATTTTTAAAAGGTCAGGGAACAAAAGTTTTCCTTGTTCTCTTTCTTCCTTTTTTTAAACACACACTCACACACACAAAAAAGATGGAGGTACATTCCGTTCAGCAGCATCCTTCTCCGAGTCCAGATTTAAAGGCAAAGGCAGACCGGAGTAGGACGGCGCCTCCCCCCACCCCCCCGCCCCCACTAGCGGCACCCGCAACCTTCAAACACGATTTTCAAATGTTTCTCTCCCCGGCCTCATCTAAATTCAGGCATGACAGATAATAAATAGCTACTCATTTACTATCATCATAAAAATTTAAACAGCCTGGAAATAGTTGCTACAATACAGAACGGAGCAAACCTAAGCTCCGAAAAGCCACTCCAAATAGTAAAACTATTCCCACGTATTGCAGAAGCACACATAAAGGGATATTGTTGCGAGGAGAGCTTCCGGCTTAGTGGAATTCTCTCTTTTAAATCTTCTACTCCGAGCAGAAGACTCAACAACTTGCCGTTTCACCCAGTTGGGGGTGGGGGGGGAAGGGAGCTTAGGAACCCTCAGCTATCACACGGTACCAGATTTGGTGATGGATTTTTTTTTTTAAGTATCTGATTTGATTTCACACAGTGATTAAACATCTTTGTGCTCAGCGGAGAAGGGTCTCCCAACCCCTCCCCCTCCAAAAATGGCATCAGAGCAATCAAAATGGTAATGCCCAGCCTGGGTCCCCTCCCCGCTCCCCCCCCCCCCCGCGAACTCCCCGACTTCGCCCTAGCCGCGCGCCGGGCGCCCCCCCCCCCCATCCTCCGGCGGGAATGGAAGCTTCCACTCCCGGGCGGGGGCGCGCGGCCGGGGAGGGGGGCCGCGGCACCGCGGGAAAGGGGTTAACGCGTTCGTCCCCACCCGTGCGTCCAGCCCGACGCCCCCGACCAGGCGCCGACCCGCGGCCACAGCCGTCTTTCTTTCCGCAGCCCCCGGCCCCCTCCTTCTCTTCTGCACGCCCCCCTTCCACCGCTTTGCAACTTTAAAAAGACGAAACGCACACCCGGCCTCCGAGTTCTCCCTCGCCGGGGTCGTCACCACCCCCCACCAGCCACGTCCACGTCTCTCCTCTACACCGACCATCCCTCCGGGGAGACTGGGGGGCTTCGGATCCGGCCCGCCCCCGCCCCGGAGTTAAGGGACCGAGAAGGGGACCGGATCGGGGGGCGGGGGCGGGGGCGGGTGCGGTCCAAGTTTGAGGCTGACGCCGGCTGCCGGCATTCCGAAGGAAGCGCGATCGAAGGCCCGGGGGGCTGAAGGGGGGGCTCGGCGAGGCGGGGCGGGGCGGGGGGAGCGGGCCCGCGGGGCGGACTGAGGGAGGGGAGGAGGGGGCCGCGGGGACGAAGCCGGCGCCCCAGCCCCCGCCAGTCTCAGAGCCCGAGAGCGCCATTGGCTGCGCGGCTCAAAGTTCTCGGCTCGGGGAAGGGGCGGGGGTGCGAGTGCGGGGAGGGGGCGTGGGGGGAGGGGCGCGGAGGGGGAGGGGAGGGGCGGGGGGCGGAAAGGGAGAGGGGGCGGGGCGCGCGGCCGGCCGCGCTCCGGCGGCGGCCTCTGTTCGCGGTGCTGAAACCCCTCTAGCGCTGAGCTCCGCGCAACTAAGTCACAATGGACAACTTTTCCTCGCCGAGGGGGCCGGGAGGGGTTGGCAGCCGGGCCCCCAACCCCCCGTCCCCACGGCAAGCAGCTCCTCGCGGCCCCCAGTGGACACCCGGTACCCGGAGACCCAAAGTTGGGCAGAACCGAGGGGTCCCGGGGGCGCCTTTCTTTTGTTCCCCGGGAGCTGGCTGGCGTCAGGTTCCGAGAATAAAAGTGATGCTGGAGAAGTGGGAGGGGAGGGGGGAGCCCGGGGGAAGAACGATTTCTTTAAATTAAGATTTGCGGCGTAAACCACCCCGCAAAAAAATTCCACTTCCAAGGAGTTTGGTGTCCAGGCCCGAATGACCGCCCCCTCTCTCCGCACCCTGACGCCCGCGGGAGGCCGGGGAAGGGGGCTGTTGAGGGGGGACACCGACCCGGGAGAATTGTCCACATTCCAAAAACATGTCCACCAACTCAAAATGGACGCCGGGCTGCTCGCCGCCTTTTAAGGGCAGCTTCTCTCCTTCGGCCACTGCGAGAGCCGCGCTGCCCCCCGCCTCGGCCTCCAAGACCCTGGCCCCTTCTTCCCAGAAGCAGGGGGTGGGCGGGTAACTTTGAAGACCGCAGAGGCTCCTTTGGGAGTCTGAGTGCGCGGCGCCGAGGCCAGCACTTTTTAGGGTGCTACCCAAGTGCCCGGCGACGCCTCCTAGTCTCCCCACCCCGCCACCCCGGGCCGGGGGCCGGCTCCGGCTCGCTTACTTGTTTGTCGCTGAGCGCGGCGATCCGCGGCTGCCGCTCGTGCAGCGGTTTCTTGAGGTCGCCGTTCTGCGGAAATACGGAGGCGCGGGCTCAGGCCGGCCGCCCCGGGGTCGGGGGGGGGGTCCAGTGCGCCCGGGGCCCCGCGGGGCCGCCGCCCCCCTCCCCCGCCCGAGTTCCCCGGGCCGCGTCCCGCACGCGCGGCGGCCGGGCAGTGCCGCGTGGGGCCGCTTACCTGTGGCTGCCGCCTCATCGGGGCAGCTCGCGGGGCGGGGCGGGGGCCGCGGCCACCCGGCGGCGCGCCCCGAGCCGTGCAAGTTTGCAGGCCCGGGTGCGTGTGCGAGGGAGTGTGAGTGTGGGCCGGGGGGAGGGGGGAGGAACAAAGAGCCAAGTAAACACGGCGAGTCCGTGTCGAGCAAAGCTCATAAATATTCAAGTCGCGTCCTAATCTCCCCAACACACACATACACACACACACGCGCGCGCGCGCGCGCGCCGCAACACCGCCCGGGCTCCGGCCGCCGCGCCGCTGCTCGCCCAAGCAGCAGTCTCCAAAACTACTTTTGCAAACTGTGCAGGATTGCACCTGGGGGGTGGGGGCGGAGGGGGTGGGCGTACCCCCCACACACAGACACACAACGGCAAGCGCACGCAGGGGGCCCTCTCCCGGGACCCTAGTCCTGCAGATCCTGCCCGAGAAAGAGAAGACACTGGGTTCGGGTCCCACGCGTCCCCGATCCCTCAAACTGTGCAGGATTGCACGAAACGGGGGGAGGGGGGGTGCGGCGCAGAGGGGAAGCCCAAAGTGGAGTCCGTTCATGTACACACTTCCCCCATCCCTGGGGCAGCAGGCTCAAAGGAGGGGGCCTCTCCAGCTCTGCGCGCCCTGCGACGGAGAAGAGGACACCGGGCTCCGCAGCCCGGACCCCGGACCCCAGGCTCCCGAAGTCAGCAGCCCCCAAACGCCTACCTGGTGGCGCGCGAGTTCCACGGCGAGCGCCTCGGGCCGGCTCTGCAGCTCCATCTCGGCAACTTGGGCAGCACTTTGCGCTCACTTTGGCCCCGGCTCCCGGAGAGTTGCGCGGCTCCGCGGGAGTCGGGGCTGACGCGGGCGTATCGGGTCTCCCTGGATGGTGCAGGGGGCGCGGGGGTTGGACACGAGCCCCCTCCCCCAAGACCGAAAATGGAGGGAGGGGGGTCTGGAGATGGGGGGGAAGAAAGGCGGCCGCGCGCCCCCCCCCCCCCAACTCCTCAGGCAGCCCGGCAAGTTGCGCCGGGTCCCTGGGCTGCAGGCGCGGCCAGGCGCATGACCCCCCACCACCCCCGGCCCCGGCGCCGGGAGCCCCAGCGCAGCCCCCGCGCGAGCTGCCAGGAGGCAGGGACTATATTTCCTCCGGCGCGCGCCTGGATCTCGCTGGGGCCTCGGCAAAGTTGTGCCTCGGCACGATGCTAATTCAGGCAGTGCCCGGATGCAGCGGGCCGGGGCGGCGGGGGGCGGGGCCCGAGCGCGAGCCCGCCCCGGCCCGGCCCCGCCCCGGCCCGGCCCCGCCCTATCCGCCCCTCCCCCGCCCCGCCCGCGCGTGCGCACTGCCGCCCCGCCGCGACCCGGCGCCCGAAGCGCAAAACAAAAGTGGCTCCTGGCGGTTCCCCCGGCCACTTTTCTTCTCCGCCCCGACTTCCAGCCAAAACCTCGGGAAACGGGACGCCCACCGCATCAGCCCGGGGTCGGGACACTTTCCGATGGGACGGGAGATGGCCCACTCTCCCATTCCTAGTCTCCTCTGGGTCTCGCCTCCTCCCTCTTTGCCCGTCGCCTCCTACTTACTTTGTCTTCCATCCACTCCTGCCCCCTGCACACTAAGGCGCTGCCACCCAGGACATTAACTTTGTCAGGTCGCCAGATTCCGCCACCGCCTGATAGCCACCGTGTTGTTTAAACAGTCTGAAAATTGATCTCTTGACTGTGCCTTTAATGGTTTTTTTCTTTTTTTTTTTTTTTTTACGCTCACAATTAAATTCTGAACAGATGTCATTGGAGTTTTTTAAGACTGGCGTTAAACATCGTAGACGTGCCCGGTCAATGTGACATGAAACAATTATAGCCACAGCTGCGGAGATCGCATTTTAGAACTCCCAGCCCCACAGCCAGGAGGTTGATGTCTCTGAGTGGATATAGCATCGTGGAGTTAGCATCTTCATCAATTAACGTTGGAAAGCTTTGTGCCCTGTTGGTAGCATCCTACTATGTTTGAGAGAAGCTGGGGAGAAATACTCAAACTAAGTTAGTATTACTAATACTAACTAACACTAAGTCAGTATTACTCAAACTAAACTGTTAAATGTTTACACTGATAAATTACTATAGGTTCAGATTCCTCTGCAGCACACAAAATACCCCAGTGAACGCAGGCAACAAATGCCCCTTTCAGCGTATGCCAACATTGACTTCTGTGTTTGTTGGGCCTCGAAATACTGGGGGCTTCTTCTTCCCAACCCCAGCACTAGCCTTTAGGAGGCCCTTAAGTGAGGAATCGCTGTGATTTCTCTGCGAGCTTTGCTGAAGATTCACAAAACCATGGCCTGTCCTAAGTACTATCATGGGTTTGGTAGAGCAGGGCTCACCAAATGCAATCAAAAAAGGCTGGCTCTGGCTCCTTCCATTCCAGGTTCAGCCCAGCTTGAATGGGGTCCCCTCTACCTAGCGCTTTACCTGGGCAGCCAGGTAAAGTCGACTGCCCACACACCTGTGTTCCCAGAGCCAGAGTGACAGGGTTCCCACTGTAATCTGTAAATGTCACTAGGTTTTAGTAAAATTTCACAATAAGTTCATTGATCATGTATGTAATTGAATCAACAGAGAGGATGTTCAAGTTGTCCATAACCTGCACAGACTCAGGGAGATGCTGACTGGGGCGTTTACATTATTTAATCCGAGTTACCGTGATGATCCTGTACATGCCCCTCTGTCGTTTTCAGAGTTAGCCAGATCCTGAGCCCGCAACAAATGCCAGGGGCTGGGTGCTCTCTGACAGAGAGGGAATTAGTTATGTGGAGGGAGAGAAACTTACCAGGAATCCTTGGCCGCTGATGCAGACGCACTTTACCCTGAAAGTGACCAGCACGCCAGCTCATCCTCCCTGGGCCCATGTTACGCTCTCCCATCAGAATGCCCTTTCTCTCAGAACCCACTTTTTAAAGTCCTCTTGGTCCTCCAAGATTGACTTCAAACGCCGCCTTTTCTGGGAACTTCTAATTTCTGCACATCAGTTCTTTACTCCTCCCTCTAGAGACTCACCATGAAGAACTTATGTACAAGGGGGACTTCTGCCCCATAATCGAGGCCATGGCTTCCCTGCTGTGGCCTGAGCTGAACCGGAGCCTGGCTTGTGGGCAGGACACAGTATAATAAGCCCCTACTTAAGAACCTTCACGGTGTGAACTTTCAAAGAGGTGACCATGCGTTCCATCAACATCGGTTATGAGCAAAATTGCAGCTTGCCCTCTGTCTCCTTTCCCAGGTGGCTCAGTGGTAAAGAATCCACCTGCTAATGTAAGAGACACAAGAGACTTGGGTTTGATCCCTGGGTCGGGAAGCATCCCTGGAGGAGGAAATGGCAGCCCTTTCCAGTGTTCTTGCCTGGGAAATCCCATAGACAGAAGAGCCTGATGGGCAACAGTCCATGGGCTCTCAAAGAGTTGGACATGACTGAGCAGGCACACAAGCCTCTGTCTCCTATTGCTGACGATCCTTTAGCTCCACCATCTTACTCTTCTTTTTTTTTCATCTTACTCTTCTTGACTGTTCAATGCCAGCCCCTGTGTGCCGGCTGTTGTACTGTGCTACTGTACTTTTCAAAGTACTGTACTGTAAGATTAAAACTGCTTTCTTTAGTTTTTCTGTTTGTTTTTTATGTATTATTTGTTTGATAAATATTATCAACCTATTACAGTACAGTATAGTACAGTACAGAATTATGTAGCCGATTGTGTTAGCTGGGTACCTAGGCTAACTTTGTTCAACTTACGAACAAATTGGACTTACGAACATGCTCTTGGAACATAATCATTCATGTGTAAAGGACTGACTGTGTGTGGATATTGAAGGGAGGAACAGAATAGGGGCTAGAGCCAAGTAGATGCTTACCTGATGGATAAGTGAGTGAGGGGATGAGAGAATGAATGAATGCTAAAAGGGAGCTGTGCTTAGTTGCTCAGTCATGTCTGACTCTTGTGACCCCATGGACTATAGCCTACCAGGCTCCTCCGTCCATGGGATTCTCCAGGCAAGAATATTGGAGTGGGTTGCCATTTCCTTCCCCAAAAGGGAGATACATTCCATTTTTGGAAAGGTGGGCTGTTAACCACGAGCACAGATGTGAGCAGTGTTGGCAGTTCATCCCGGCGTCCAGATGTCTCTTCACTTGCATTGTGATCAGGCGTACTGAGCGCCTGAACAAGGAGCTTGGATATCTGGGTTTGAGACTTGGGTCTACCCCTTAAGAGCCTCCAGTCTTGGGCAAGTTTCTCAACATCTCCTAGCCTTCGTAACCACAGGTTACCCCCAGAACCCCTCAGTTCCTCCTGGCCCTGGAAGTTGGCTGCTTGCTCATTGGAGAGCCCCAGTCACAGCCCCTGCCCTTTAACTGGCCTTAAAATGAGGGCCGGCCTTCAGCACAGCCTCCTCCGTCCCATGCCGACCCTAGGACAAGCTGCAGTGGCTCCATCACCATGTGGTCCAGCCCTGGGGATCCCAGGGGACCCTGCAGCTCCCACCTCTTCTGGCTTTCTTTTTTTTTTCAGTTTCAAACAATTTATTAAAACATGAAAACACTTCCAGGAAAAGATCTAATTTGGAGAATGAAAAATGTAACCCATGGTAAGGAAAATACAAATCATACACTGAACAGAGGAGAACAGACAAGGCAACCACGCTTTGTAGAAACCAGGACAACACTCTAGGCTTATAAAAGCTTCCTAAACATGTTCTGTGTTATCATGTGTAGAAAACTGTAATTAAAGTAAGGTAGTTTCTATTAGTTGTATAATCTAAAAGTATGAGTCAATTTTGGACTTTATCTCCAAAAAGGCCTCATGGTTCTCCCTGGAATACATGTTCCTTGAGACGTTGACTAGAGCTCCCATTTATGGGAAATACGTTCTTTTTCCACACAGTGAAACTGAGAAAAATTATATAACAGAGAAATCTTTTTCTCTAATCTCCTTCAATAGCTCAGAAATGCAGTACTTGGAAAATGTAATTTTTCAACTCAGACTTAAAAAAGCTTATGGCTTGGCATCAGATTTTTCGAAAAGTGAAGAACTGTCTGAACCACCATACTCTCCTCAAATCCTGTTTCAAACTTTTTCACGTAGCGCTACTTTTATTTTGTGAAGGTAGACTTCAATCTAATGACAATCTATACTGAGCCCTGCACGATGCACAAGCAAGTCACAGCACACTTCAAGCCAAAAGAAATGATCGATCTTCTGTTTTTGTCAAAATCGTATGACAATATCTGTAAAAAATTAACTAGGATTTATATGTGCCCAGTGAAGGACCCACAGAATGTTGTCTTACGGCACTCTGTGCAAAGTCTTGGTTATTCCCTTGCTTTTGGCTTCCTCTTCTGAATTTTTTTGGCCACACTGCATGGCATGTGGGGTCTTAGATCCCCCACCAAGTGTCGAAACTGGACCCTTGCAGTGGAAGCATGGAGTCCTAACCACCAGACCACCAGGGACGTTCCAAAATCTCCCCTTTTCATGAGAACATCAGTCATGTTGGATGAGGGCCTTCCCTAATGACATCCTTTAAACCTGCTCACTTCTGTAAAGACTCCATTTCCAAGTAAGGCCACATTTTGAGGTCCTGGAGGTTAAGACTCCAAGGTAGGAACGTGGGGACACAATTCCACCCACAGCAGCATGTCTGGAGCTCTGCTCTCTGAGATGGCCAACTGCATGCTGCCTCGTGGACACTCTGCTCATTCATTCACAGCGATTTACTAGGTCCCTGTGTCTGGTACACTCATTAACCTCACCTTAGTCTTCATGCCTGAGTTTGTGTCTGGTCCCATGGATCATGCCCAGGAAGTGCAAATGTGCTTCTGTTTGGACCTTTTGCTGATTTCAGTTGGATTCTGCTCCCTGACCTCCCACGCCGCTTCTCCCACTTCCTTCTATTCTGAAGCAATGCATTTCACATGATTTATAACAATAATTTCCATGGTGGCTCAGTGGCAAAGAACCCACCTACAATGTAGGAGCCTCAGGAGACACGGGTTCAGTCCCTGGGTTGGAAAGAAGTATTCTTGCCTGGAGAATCCCATGGACAGAGGAACCTGGTGAGCTACAGTCCATGGTATATAGAGTCAGACACGACTGAAGTGACTAAGCGCTGATAACAGTGAATGGAAGCCAAGACGCTAATAAAGAAGGCTGAGCACCGAAGAACTGGTGCCTTTGAACTGTGGTGTTGGAAAAGACTCTTTAGAGTCCCTTGGACAGCAGGGAGATAAAACCGGTCAATCCTATAAGAAATCAGTCCTGAATATTCACCGGAAGGACTAATGCTAAAGCTGAAGCTCCAGTACATTGGCCACCTGATGCGAAGAATTGACTCCTTAGAAAAGACCTTGATGCTGGGAAAGATGAAAGGCAGGAGAAGGGGATGATAGACAATGAGATGGTTAGATGGCATCACCAACTCGATGACATGAGTTTGAGCAAGCTCTGGGAGTCGTGATGGACAGGGAAGCCTGGTGTGCTGCATGCAGTCCACGGGGTCGCAGAGTGGGACACGAATGAGCAACTGAACTGGCTGACTGAAGGTACTCGTCAGAGCCCCCGAGGCACTGAGGCCAGGATGACGCCTTGAAGGCTCTGTCTTGCGCAAAGTCTCTAGGGATCCTTGAGTGATTATCCTCTGACCTGTAAGGGTCCTTCCTTCACCAGCTCTCAAAGGACACCCTCGCTCAAGGTCAGGGGAGCTGGCCCGGAGCTCCGTCCTCCTGCTTCCCCTCTTAGATCTCAGCCAGGCATTGATTGACTACAGTTTGACATTTTTGTTTCAAATACAGTTATTCCAAGAAGTCTCAAAGCTTTTGCCTGTAGAAACTTTTGCTGATCCACAACGCATTTCTAAACTACACACTTATTGATAAGTTGGCTAAAGAGTAAGGATGGGCTTCCCTGATTGCTCAAACAGTAAAGAATCCACCTGCAATGCAGGAGACCGAAGTTCAATCCCTGGGTTGGGACGATCCCCTGGAGGAGGAAATGGCAACCCGCTCCAGTATTCTTGCCTGGGAAATCCCATGAACAGAGGAGCCTGGTGGGCTACAGTCCATGGGGTCACAAAGAGTCAGATATGAGTCGGACACGACTGAGTGACTTTTACTTTCACTTTTGCTTATTTGGCTACGCTGGGTCTTGGTTCCAGCATGCAGGATCTAGTTCCCTGAAAGTGAAAAGTGAAAGTCGCTCAGTCGTGTCCGACTCTTTACGACCCCAGGGACTATACAGTCCATGGAACTCTCCAGGCCAGAATCCTGGAATGGGTAACCTTTCCCTTCTCCAGGAGATCTTCCCAACCCACAGATCGAACCCAGGTCTCCTGCATTGCAGGCAGATTCTTCCCAGCTGAGCCACAGGGGAGGCGCCTGCCCAGGGATCAGACCTGGCCCCTTGCATTGAGAACATTGAGTCTTAGCCACTGGGCCACCAGAAAAACCCCTCACTCTGTGTCCCTTATTAAAAGCGTGTTTTTCATCTACTTTTTTCTTTTGTGGTGAGGACGTGTGGCACAAGATCTGCCCTGTTGGCAGAACTTTGTTTTCAACGCAGCATTGCCAACTCTAGGTCCTAGGTTCCACTGCAGAGCTCGCGTGGGTTCCTCTGTCTCAGCCCCAGCGAACACCTCTGTTTCCCTGAAAGGAATGTCCACGGGGCTACAGCAGAGAATTGGAACCAGGAAGGTGGTGCCTGGGAGACCAGAATTAGTGCTCGCAGAGGGCTTTCAAGTGCCTGCCCTGACTGGGCGTGTTAGGTACGCTATTTGATTGTCTCTTCACAGTAGCCCAGGGAAATTAGGACATGATGCCCCATTTACAGATGGGAAACTGAGGTGCGGTGATGTGAACTCACCCAGTCATCTCTCTTGTGTGCTGGGAGCACACACCTGTATTTGAACCCGGTCTGCTGGATCCCAAGATGCCGGCTCTCAGTAATTCAAGATAAGGACGCCCTGAAGGAAGACTTTCAGGACCCCCAATAGGAGGAGCGGGCGCTGAGCAGTGGGAACCGGTGAGCCTGCGGTGGTCTGGGTGGTGTGGCCCTGTCTCCATGTCCCCAGTGGAACATCTCTGCACCACCTCCCAGCACGAAGTTCTCTGGGAAAGACAGAGTGGGGAGGTGATAACTGGCCGTCTAAGAAACCAGTGTCAAGGCCTGGCAGGTGGCCACAGACTCCTGGTTTCACCTCTGGGAGTTTGGGGGGCTTCCCTGTTGGCTCAGATGGTAAAGAATCCACCTGCAATGCAGGAGACCTGAGTTTGGTCCCTGGGTTGGGAAGATCCCCTGGAGAAGGAAATGGCAGCCCCCTCCAGTATTCTTGCCTGGAGAATCCCATGGACAGAAGAGCCTGGCTGGCTACAGTCTGTGGGGTCACAAAGAGTCAGACACGACTGAGCGAATTTCACGTCACACTTCACTTGGTAAAAGTGGTTGAGGCGGCATCAAATGAGAAAGTGGCCAGGGATGGACAGAGTCCCCTGACCCCGGGTGGGTCCCTGATGGCCCGGAGCCTCACTGTGGGTGCCCCAAAGGCAAATTCCACCCCCCAACGGGAGTCGAGTCTCAGCCCCACCTGAGAGTGCTTCTGTGCCAGAGATTCTATCATTGGTGTCCATCCTAATTAGTACTTTCACACCCACATCCTCAGAGGCTCTAAGTCAGCTGTGAGGCTCCTGTTGGAGACCGCGTGGGTGCGCTGCCCGTGAGTGAAGGATGCCATTTACAAGGAGGGAGAGAACACACAGCGTGGGGGGTGGCAGGAAGTGGGACAAGCCCCTGGTCTCTCTCACCTCTGCGCCCGGGAGACCCAACAAACCCAAGAGTGGAATTGGTCCTCTGGTTTCCTCTCTCATTTGGTGATGGCTGTTGAAAATTATTTGTTTACGGTTGCATGCAGTCTTTCTCCAGTGGCGAAGCGCAGGGCGCACTCTCTAGCTGCAGTGCAAGCGTTTCTCACCGCTGTGGCTTCTCCTGTGGCGGAGCACAGGCTCTAGAGCGGGGCCTCGGTACTTGTGGCTTAGTTGCCCCGTGCGCCCTGCACTGGCGGTGGATTCTTAACCACTGGACCGCCAGGGACGTCCCTGGTGATGGTTCTACTTTCAGACTTCCAAGCCAGCAGTGATTCTGAGCCTGGAACCTTTCTGCAGAGCAAGAGTGGCAGTTATTTTTCACTTGTCTGCCCCCGAGTCTGGTTCCTTTCTCCGTGCACAAGCCGTGCACCCAGGGGAGTGAGAGGTGATTACTGGGGAACAGGGTGAGAAAGGGCTGGGTCCTGCTCCACGTGACAGGTGGCGTGCGGGAGGGACGACACCGTCAGCCCGCCACTGCGCAGGGGGTTCCAGAAGAGATGCTGGAGGAGGTGTACGCGAGGTGGGGAGCACCGAGGAGGGAGCCCCCCTCCTCACTTCTGGGTTTCACACTTTGTCATGTCATTGGCCCTCACGAGACCCTGGGGTGGGGGTGGGGAGATTGCTATCACCTCCACTATACATGGGGAAGTTCAGTTCAGTTCAGTTCAGTTGCTCAGTTGTGTCTGACTCTGTGACCCCATGGACTGTAGCACACCAGGCTTCCCTGTCCATCACCAACTCCTGGAGCTTACTCAAACTCATGTCCATTGAGTCGGTGATGCCATCCAACCATCTCATCCTCTGTCGTCCCCTTCTCCTCCTGTCTTCAATCTTTCCCAGCATCAGGGTCTTTTCCAATGAGTCAGTTCTTTGAATCAAGTGGCCAAAGTATTGGAGTTTCAGCTTTAGCATCAGTCCTTCCAATGAATATTCAGGACTGATCTCCTTTAGGATGGACTGGTTGGATCTCCTTGCAGTCCAAGGGACTCTGAAGAGTCTTCTCCAGCACCACAGTTCAAAAACATGGGGAATACATGGGGAAGCTGAGGCTCAAAGCAGTTGGATCCCTTACAAGTCACCTAGTTGGTAGATGAGGATTGAGATCCTGGAGTTCCGGGCTTGAGTCTGAGCTCTCTTGCTTTCCGGTTGCAGATCTGGGGTCCCCAGAGAGCCCTGGAGCGGAGGCGGAGGTGCACAGGTAGGTGTGGACACGGGTGCGCCGGGAGAGGGGGGAGGTGGTAGCTTAGCTTGGGTTTGAGCCAGAAGCTGACCCTGAACTAGGATGCCCGTGAAGGAGTTGAGCCGGGAGGTGATCCCAGGGATGATCCCAGGAAGTGCCTGTGGGTTGTGGCAAGGAAGCCCAAACACGGTGACTTAAGAAGCAGGTTACCATGAAGGGTCGCGGGGCTCCCAGTTGCGAGAGCGCAGGGCGAGCCCACAAGTCCCGAAACCGGGGCCTCCCAGACGATCACAGAAGCCTCGGGTGCAGCAGGGGGCAGAGCAGGGTGGCGTCTCTCTACCCAGAGAGGATCGGAGATGAGCCAGGAGCAGAGGCAGAGGCCGTGCACTTCACACACAGCTGGGACGGCCGGCAAGCGATGGGGAGCCGTGGACACAAGTGGGGTGACATTGTCGGTGTCTGCAGATTCCAGATGTGGGGAAAGGCGGGCCAGGACCACTGGTGAGGATGCTGCCCCAGGAAGACAGGCCAGTCCCAGCCCTGCCCAAGGGGAGCAGCAGGCGGGCTGAGGACTGGGTGGGGGTTAGGGCGGAGCCCACCCAGGCAGGACTGCTAGGACAGATAGGACTCCCCAAGACTTCTGTGCGTCCAACCTGTGAGCCTGGGCGAACAGCGACTGTGAGACAAACCAGGCTGATGGGCAGAGGGGCAGGTCTGGGAGGGACTGGGGCCGAGAGGGGACCCAGGGGGGACCCGGAGCAGTAGCTGCAGGGCTGAGCACGTGGAGAAGAGCTCAGCGCATCTCCATAGCCCCTGAAGTGTGCCCCAAGTCTGCCCGGACACCGGCTCTTGGAGGCTGATGGTGGGGCCCCATGATGACCCTCTGAGGTCCCTTGTTTGTCTTTCCTGAGCAGGAAAGGGAGTTGGGTAGCCCAGCTGGCTGAGGTTGGGTTTTTGTTGTGGGTTTTTTTAGTAAGTCTTTTTTTTTAAGAAGAATATTTTTTTGGTGTGGACTATTTTTAAAGTCTTTACTGAATTTGTCATAATATTGCTTCTGCTTTATGTTTTGGTTTTATGGCCTCGAGGCATGTGGGATCTTAGCACCCCAGCAGAAATTGAACCTGCACCCCCCTGCGTTGAAAGGCGAAGTCTTAACCTCTGCAGTCCTCTGAGGTTAGGGGCTTGGGGGCTTAGCTGTCACCCACTGGCTGCATGGCGTAGCGGAAGCTGTTGCTCTGAGTCTCCCCCTCCATATAAAAGGGGCTCATCCACTCGTAGACAGTTCCAGAGTGCTACGTGCCAGCTGGAGCGAGTGGAAAGTGAGTGAACTTCCTCCCTATTGGCAACACGTGGGCCATGTGGCGGGTGCTGGGACAGACATGTGCCCCGGGTGCCAGGGGGTCGGAACCCGGCCCCCTGGAACTGCCAGTGCTGGGTTCAGCTGGGTCCCCAACACCCACAGGACACCCTGGCAAAGCGGCTGCCTGGAAGAGGTCCTGGCATCAGGCGCCAAGAGGAGGGGCCTTGGAGGTTTGGGGCGAGGAGCGGCCGGTCATCAGCAATCACGCAGCCACCACTGGATGGAGGGGTCTCAGCCCCCAACCCTGGAGGCTGGGACGGTGAGCCAGGGTGGAGCCAAGCAGCGGGACCCTCGGTGCGGGAAAGGTGAGCATAATGCAGGTGGACAGGGGAGGGGAGGGGAGGGGAGTGAGAGAGAGGAGGGCATCCGGGGCAGCCTCGGATTTCCAGCCTGGGGGACTGGGTGCCGGAGTGAGATAGGGTGAGCTGGAGAGGGGAGGTTGGGGACATGACAAGGTTGGGGGTGTCAAGGCCCTACCTTCCCCCAAGCATGATCTGGGGATGCTTTGTGAACCCTAAACGGCCAGGTCCAGTGTAGGGAAAGGCAAGGGGAGTGAGGTTTGTGGTCAGTCCCTCTTGATCTGTCTCCCTTCACTTTCCTTCCTATATGGGGTTGGATACATCCTCAAAAAATTCGCAACCTCCCCAGAACCTCAGAAGGTGACCTTATTTGGAAATAGGGTCATTGCCCATCTCACCAAGCTAAGACGATGTCATCCCAGGGTCGGGTGGGCCCTCATGGGAGAAATGAAAGTGGGAGAGACACAGAGACACACGCAGAGAATGCCACGTGACCACAGACCTAGGGCGGCCGGTTACATGGAAGCCAAGGGGAGGTGTGCAGCAGATTCCCTCCTGGAGCCTTCAGAGGGAGCACGGCCCTGCCGGTGACTTGATCTTGGATGTCTGGCTCCCAGAACCTTGAGAAGACACGTTTCTGCTGTTTAAAGCTGCCCAACATGGGACTCTGATACGGCCACCCCAGGACACCAATGCGTTCCCCATCTTTCCTTCCTCAGCCAGGCCTCATCCTACTGAGAATTCCACCTCTTTCTCGGAGCCACCCCAACTCAAGTCCTAAATCTCCTCGATTAGAGGGTTGAGGCTGGACCTAACTCTCCTAATTGGTAGCACCCCAGCCTGACTCTGTCTTCCCTGGAGGCTTAGGTGCTAAAGAATCCGCCTGCAATGCAAAAGACCGTGGTTTGATCCCTGGGTTGGGAAGATCCCCTGGAGAAGGGAACGGCTACCCACTCTAGTATTCTTGCCTGGAGAATCCCATGGACAGAGGAGCCTGGCGAGCTGCAGTCCATGGGGTCGCAAAGAGTCGGACACAACTGTGCAACTAACACACACAGCCTGGCTTTATCAGATGGCACTTCCCTTATTCCCCAGCAAGCTGAGTTTCACATTCTGCCTCTGTTCCTGATGGGGGAAAAACCGTCTTCAACCTTGGCACTCCACTGTCCTCGAATCCGACTTCCTCTGCCTTCAGTGGCTGGTGTCTGCAGGCGTAGACAGTGAGCTCAATTATTATTCACATGTTCAGCACAGATTTTTTTCCCATAGTTCGCTGAAAACTTTCAAGCACTTTTGAAACAAACCTCTTTTATTCCCCACCCATTCGGTTACCTGAATGCCACAGCAGCAGCGGCAGAGTGCCTCGCTTCCCGTTGCACCCACCCTGCCTCCCCCCATCTCATCTGAGCCAAATCAGACAGTCCTTGTCAGCACCCTGCACGCCCCAGGTACCCGACAGGCATTTTAAGTGATAATAACGGGGGCTTGTTGAGCAAGTGCAGGTTAAATGGCAGGCATCATGATAAGGGCTTCCTGTGTGGTCTCATTTTAACCCTTCACCCTCCAACCCTATTACATAGATGAGGAAACTGAGGCCAACTCATCTAATGACTTAGCCAAGGAAGTACATAATGGTTTCTAACCGAAACTAGACCAGGTCCAAGCTTGGTGTCCAACCGCCCACATCACAGCTCTGCTGGGCTCACAAAAGATCCCCAATAATGACCTATATGGAAAGAGAATCTAAGAAAGAATGGATGTATGTGTATGTTTAACTGATACACTTTGCCGTACACCTGAAACTAACGCAACATTGCAAGTCAACTAGACTTCAGTAAAAATTAATAAAAAAATAAAGAGATGCTTTCCCCCACAGAACAGCCCCAACAAATACTGGCTGGGAGACTGACCATGGTGGCCAGTGGAAAACACTGTTGGCTGGGAGACAGGGGTACAGGCTCCTAGTCCCGGCTGTGTCACCCTCTGCGGAGGACACAGGTAAAAAAATCTTTCAACTGCATGTGGCTGTCCCTGGCGAAATAGTGGTTAAGGAATTATGAGTTGTTAATAACATTTCTAGTGATGAAATGAGCATCATCACTATTGCAATGAGGCCAAGAACCAGTGTTAACGGCAATAATGACTCATTTATTGGGGAATTAGAAGACGGTTCAAGGTTCGTAAATCAGGGAGGAGTGAGAAAGCTAAGTATATAATAAAAATGTGAATTTGAAAGTTCTGAAGATTTGCCTGATAGCGGCCAGAGAAGAATTTCAACACAGTTGTTGACCCAGGGCTAGACAGCTGCTGACGTGGATATCCCATCTCCTAAAAACGCAGAACAGGGCTTCCCTGGTGGCTCAGTGGTGAAGGATCCACCTGCCCACACAGGAGACATGGGTTCGATCCCTGGTCCGGGAAGATCCCACATGCCACAGGGCAACTAAGCCCGTGCGCCCCAATACTGAGCCTGTCTCTAGAGCCGGGGAGCCACAACTACCGAAGCCCATGCACCTACGGCCCGTGCTCGAAAACAAGAGAAGCCAGCGTGATAGAAGCCACACGTTGCAACTAGAGAGTAGCCCCCACCCTCTGCAACTACAGAGAAAGCCCACGCAGCAATGAAGACCCAACACAGCCGAAAATTAAATACATTAATTAATCAAAGTTAAAAGAAAGAATACTGGAGCAGGTTGCCATTTCCTACTCCAGCGAATCTTCCCAACCCGCATCCAGATCAAACCTGCATCTCCGGCGTCTCCTGTGTTGGTAAACAGATTCTTTACCACTGGGCCACCTGGGAAGCCCTTATTTTCATTTGAGACTCTCAGCATTCTCTGAGGTAGGGCGTCTGGAATTCTTTCCTTCTACCCTCTCCCCTCATCCAAAGGCACCAAGATCCTGGGAGTTTGACACCTCCTCTAAGTGAGCGGACGGTGGAGCTGGAGCTGGGGTCTGGCCTCCCCTGACCCCACACCCCTGTCCTCCCCTTGGACCTGCCCCCCACCAACATTAGCCTTCCCAGCCCCAGTGTCCACTCCTTCAAAATGAAGTCAGTGGGCAGGGGGCCTGTTGCATAAGAGGGTCTCATCAAAATGTTAATTTTGTCTCCCTTTGGGGGAGAGAGGGGTGCTGAACCCCATGGCACTCAAAGATGTGGAGCAGGCGCTGAATTCGCATCCTGATGCCCAGTAAGGGGGGAAGAAGAGCTGGGAGCTGAGCCGGGGCATTTTGGGTGCCCATGTTCACGGCATCTGTAGGCACTTCTCTCACCCAGCCATGGTGGGGTCTCACCTGGGGGCCGGGGCTCCCAGCTGCCCAGGATGCTGCGGGAACTGGAACGGGAGCCTCTTCACCAGGAGCCCCCTTGTTAGGAGCTCTTTCTGCTTGGTGCACAGAAGGAAAGTCAGCTCCGTCCACATTCTGCAAATTTCTTCCAAGGAAGCCGGATCACTGGCCCCACACCCCGTCCTTCTCCAGTCCCAGCGCCAAGAACACTCCACAGCAGGTTCACGCCGACCCCCGTTCCAGGCCCTGTAGAGAACGGCCTTGATCTGGGCCGTGTGTCGAGGCCGTTTTCCTTGGCGGCCACAGAATGCGCGTCACACCTGCAACTTGCGGGGCGGCTCATCCTGGGTCTCCTTGACCTGTGGTTTGCAAGCAGAAGAGAGCGCTCCGGTTTCCCAGGGACACCCATCTCCCTCGGGAACAAGCGTTTGCATTCTCTCTTGTTCGATTGCTTCTAATGGAGGACACGGCCAGTCCCCTAGTCCTGGCTGAGTGGGCCAGAAGCCAGCCCCTGAGCAGAGGACTGGATGGGTTGGTCTGGAAGAGGCGCCCCATCTGGTCTGATCCCCACGTGACCCTGTGAGGACGGCGGAGCCGGAGGGGCCTCTGAGCCTTGCTGAGCAGGTGAGAGAACCAAGGCTCAAGAGACGCAAGCGCCTGCCAAGGGCCTTGCCGGTAAGAGGTGCGGGGTGGAACCATGTCCAGCTTCTGCCGGCTCAAGGCCGCCGTACCTCCCACTGCAGGACGCGGCTGAGGACAGAGGGGCTCACCCTGAGCTCGAGTGCCCCCTCAGGTCCCTGCACCCTCCTTGCTCCGTTCTCCTCCTGAAGCCAGGATCCTGTCTGTAAAATGAAGGGGAAGGGGTCTCGGCCACCATCAGAGACCCTCCCCTCGTCTGCAGCCATCCTGCCTTATTTTCCCAGACCAACCTACCCCCCAAACCCACCTGCTCTCCGAAAATCACTGGTTGCCCCTCCCCAGTCCCGCAGGCCAGCCTTTTATTTCTCTCACTGCCTGGCTAATGACGGGGAAGCTGAGCTTGGGAACCGCCAGGGGATACCCCGTGCTGGCCCAGTGGGACCCACAATAGATTTAAAAAGATTTTAAAATATTTTTAAAAATGTATTATTCAATTCCATTTTTACAGAAATCATTGACTTATTTTTTTAACAATGTATTTATTTTTAATTGGAGGATAATTGCTTTACAATATTTCATTGGTTTCTGCCACGCATCAACATGAATCAACCATAGGTAAACATGTTCCCTCCCTCTTGAACCCCCCTCCCACCTCCCACCCCATCCCACCCCTCTAGGTTGTCACAGAGCACCGGTTTGAGCAAATTCCCACTGGCTATCTATTTCACAGATGGTGATGTGTGTGTTTCCATGCTACTCTCTCTATGCGTCCTACCCTCTCTTTCCCCACTGTGTCCCCAAGTCTGTTCTCTGTGTCCGCATCCCTATTCCTGCCCTTGCACATAGGCTCATCAGTACCATTTTTCTAGATTCCATGTATATGCATTAATACATGATAGTTGTTCACTGATTTCTTATACCAAATTCTGGCCGCCCTGAGTTTTTTAAGTAGCTAATTATTTGGGGCTGCGCCGGGTCTTCATTGGCGCGTGGGTTTTTCTCTAGTTGGGACGAGCAGGGGCTTCTCATTGCACTGGCTTCTCTTCTTGCAGAGCGTGGCCTCTAGGGCTTGCAGGCTCAGCTGACGCGGTGCTCAGGCCTCGTTGCCCTGTGGCCCGTGGAGCCCTCCTGGTCCGGGGATCGAGCCGGTGCCCCCTGCATTGGCAGGCGGATTGTCAACCCCTGGACCTTCGGGGAAGTCCGGCAGCTATTTCTGAATGGAAAGGAAAAGGGAAGGGGCACCACGCACCAGGCTGCCCCCGGGCCAAGGAGGACAGCACTGCTCCTGCCTTCTTGCGTCTCTGATGAAGGACAGGCCGCGTGGCCAGGTGTGCTCCTACCCACCCAGGTGAAGAGATGACCCTGCTTGTCCCCTGGCGCCTGAGGGTCCCACCCCATACGGCCTCCCTGGGGAGCCTCTGTGAAGCCAAGGCGTCAATGGTCAGCCGCGTGCCAACATCCCTCCAATCCCCAGAGAGTCTGCTGCTAACCATCTCTGGATGTCCTATACACGTTTCAAGGCCAACCCGTCCTAAGGAATCTCTTTTCCCTTTGTGTCTGTTCCTTTGTGCTGGGGTTCCATTGGCAAGTCATGTTTCATCCATGGGTGGTACCAGTCCATAGGTGGGTGCCAGTGATCTTCTGCAGTAGGTGACAGTGTTACCTGGGTAAGTGGTCCACTGGTGCTGGCAGAAGTGCCCAGTGTTGGGAAGGGTCCTGGCTGGCCCTGAATTGGACGGGCTCAGTCTGCAGTCCCACTTACCCCACGTGACTACGGATGAGTGACCCAGCTCCCTGGCCTTTTACATGCAGACGGTGATGCCACCTCATCCAGGTGATGATGGGGCCTCAACGGGGGAGTGTCAGCAGGGCAGAGAGACGTTCCTGCGGCTGGGCCTTCGGCTGAACAGTGCTCTGGCCTGGCCGATGGGGGCGCGGCCCCAGGAGCTGCCCTGGATGCAGAGAGGACACAGGCGGCAGCCTGCACTCCAGCTAATACAGGAGCCCCAACGGGGCCGTCAAACGGGCACCTGCCGAGGGGCACTGAGCAGCCCTGCTGCGCAAGAGCCGTGGCTCTTAAACTGGTCTCTTCCTCTTTTTTTTAATTTTAATTTTTTTCTGGCCACATCACAGGGCTTTCAGGACTCAGCTCCCCAGTCAGGGACTGAACTCAGGCCATGGCAGTGGCAGTGAGAGTCCCAGCCACTGGGCCCCAGGGAGCTCCCAGGCTGCTGCCTTCTACCGTCACTGCCATGGGCTTCCCCCTGACCTTGACCGTGGACTGTGCTCCACCCTCCGTCCCTCCCCAGCCTCACTTCCCAGCTCCCCGAAGTGCATCAGTGGCCCCTAACCTCCCTCCCTCCAGGGCTCTGCTCCTAGCCTGCAGGGTCTGAGAGCAGCCTCCATGCCTCGCTCACCTGAGCTGGTCCATTCCCCCCCACCAGCCCACCTGCCTCAGCCCGTCCCTCCTGCCGCCAGGCTCGCCCGGTTTCACATTTAACTTTTCTCTCCTCGCCTTCCTCCCAAGTAGTGTCTCCTGCCCCCATGCTGGAAGCTTCCAGCAGAATCAGCTCTCAGAAGCCTACTGAGACTGGCCGGGTCTCTCTCCCGGACCCTCGTGTCTGCACCTGGTCCAAGTGCCTCGCCTGCACATCCAGCCATAGACCTTCCCTCCAACTTTGATTTGGAGTAGGAAGTGGTAGGACCCACTCCAGTCTTCTTGCCTGGGAAAGCTCGTGGACAGAGGAGCCTGGTGGGCTACAGTCCGTGGAGTCTCAAGGGTCAGACATGGCCAAGTTACAAACGGGTAACCTTTCTCAGGGCATCTCCCGCCCCCGAGCGTCCCCCCGTTCCAGCTTTGGTGCCCTTCGTGAATCATGTGCCCCCCCACCCCAGGGCCTCTGTCTGCCCAGGTCCACTGCTCTTCTGTCTGACAGCGGTTACAGCGCCTCTCTGCCGCCCGCAGCTCCGGGATCCCCGAGCTCTGATCTGCCTTCCTGTGGGCAGTGATCATCCCCCCTCGTGGCTCCAGGCCTGGCATTCCTCCCTCCTCTCTTCCCTGGCCCTGGCTCCTCAGACCAGCAGGAGGGCTCTTGTGCTGCCAACCAGGCCTCTCCCCTGGGGACCCTCCCTCAGATGCAATGCCCAGGGTCTTCCCAGAGTCCCCGCCCACCTGCCCACCTGCAAACCTCAGCCCCTTCAAGGGTCTTCCTGTCCCTGGAATTTCTATTCCTACTGCTGCTCCAGGGCATCCTACCGGATCCTGTCTGTCTGCATCTTCACTGCTTTGGGTGACCCGCCCCCCCCAGCAGGCAGAGCTCCTCCGAGAGCGACCACCTTCCCCCACCCTGCCAGACGCAGGCCCTCCTGAGCCCTGCGGGGCCGCACTGGGCAGAGGCTCAGGGAGCGCTGGTTCTACACCCAGACCTGAGAAGCCTGCGTGTAAATAATCTTTAATATGTTGAAAGACATTAAAAATTCATTAGGAAAGCCGGCTATTTAAAGAATCCCATACGGAATCCTTTTCTGAAAACAAGAACCTCTTCTTAATGGGAATAATCACTCCCTAATTCAAACGGTGCCCGTGTTTGAATCTTCATCAACCATATTGCCTCTCTTAATAAAAAGAACATCTTACGAGGACCCAGAAACTTTATTCCCGGGGCAGTAATAATGCCTATGAATGGTTAGACCAGAAAAATACCATGGGATATTACCTAAAATTATGTCAAGTGTTCAAAAAAGCTATGAAGTCCATTTCTAGGTGCCTTTGCTGGAGCTAAGAGGTTAGGGCTGAGTCAGAACCAGGTACATAATTTACAGAGCTTGGGACAAAATGAAAATGTGAGCTGCTTGTTCAAAGATAATAAAGATTTACAACACACTCAACAGGATTCTGGGTTCATTGTAACAAGGGGCACAAAATTTGTGGGCTTCCTACGAACAAATATCCAACACGTGTCCCTCTGCCCCTCCACAGGGCTGCTAGGCGGGGCCAGTGGGACAGGGCTCAATATTGGAAGTGTTAAGTGGGGGAACTTGCCACTTAGAGCCTGTCTGGTGGCGTGGGTGCACCAGGAGTGGTCTTGTAAAGGATTTGTTCCTTTGTGACTCAGAAAAAAATAGGTTCTAACTATATCCCATTCTGGAAAAGGCAAGACTATGGGAACAATAAAAAGACCCGTGGTTGCCAGAAGTTTGCAGGGAGATAATACACAGAGTATAGAAGTTTTTATGAGCAATGAAAATACTTCGAATGACATTATAATGAATACATGTCATTATACTTTTGTCCAAACCGATAGGAATGTGCAACATTACCATCTTCATTAAAGTGAACCCTAAGATGAAAAAAAACCGATAAAGAATTTCAAGACAGTGAGAGCAGAGAGTTCAATCCAGGATGGACTCCTTCTGCGTGCCAAAGCCCATGCCACGTCCAGGGCATGTACCCATGAGGCTGGCCATTGACCAAGAAAGGAAGAGATTTTTTTAAAAGTCTTTATTGAATTTGTTACAATATTGTATCTGGGTGGCTTTTTATTTTTATGTCTTGATCTTTTGGCCACAAGGTATGTAGGATCTCAGCTCCCCAACCAGGGATCGAACCTGACCCTGTGCATTGGACTGGACCACTAGAAAGTCCCAGGAAGAGAGTTCTTCCAGGGCCCCACACAGGGGAGGCCTGCCATGGCTGGGAAGCTGCTGTAGGTACTCTTCTGTGGCTCTCAACCCTAGGTTGTGACGATGGTGAATGTCATTTGCCTTGAGATGAGAGAGGAGTCCGAGAGGACAGCCTTGCCAACGCCTTGCCTCTACCCAGTGAAACCAATTTGATTTGTGACCTTCAGACCTGTAAGAGAATACATTTGTGCTATTTTAAGCCACTATTTTGGATAATATGTTACAGCAACCATGCTGGTGTTGTTCAGTGGCTCAGTCGTGTCCAACTCTTTGCGACCCCACGGACTACAACACGCCAGGCTTCTCTGTCCTTCACCGTCTCCCGGAGTTTGTTCAAACCCATGTCCATTGAGTCGGTGATGCCATCCAACCATCTCATCCTCTGTCGCCCTCTTCTCCTCCTGCCCTCAGTCTTTCCCAAACAGTCAGCTCTTCGAATCAGGTAGCCGAAGCACAGCAGCCAGAGGAGATGAATACAGAGCTGGGGTCAGGGCTGGACACCCGCTGTGTGGGCCCGTCTTGATCTTAGGGTCACTCAGGCAGCTTCTCCCTTCTCGATCGCCCCCCTCTGCCTTTGCACGCCAAAGCGACTCTTCTGTTCCGAGGTTGCCAAATGACCGTTTGCTGCCAAATCTCTGTCTCTGTGCAGGTGGCCTCCCTCACCTGCACTGTCCAGGTGTCAGTCTGTGAGGTCATCCACCAGGAGAAGCGAACAGAACAGAGTCCCACCCCCACGCCCTCTCCTCCCCCAGGTCTGGGGGCCTAGGTGAATGGCCCCTGACCGTGCAGCTCTCACCCCCACAGACAGTCTGTCCCCAGGCCCCACTGCGAAGTGGCTCTCCATGTGTCCACCACTACCCGGGCACTTCCCTCCCCTGGAGACCTCCCGTGGCCCTGCTGCCCGGGCCCCCCCTCCTTTCAGCTCGTTTATCAAACAGGCACCTGTCCCTCCCCAGCTCAAAGTTGTGGCCCTGGGATGGAGAGCTCCTGAGAGCTGGCGCCCTCCCTCCCGGCCTCCAATCATTCCAGCTGGACCACCAGCGGTCCCTCACGGTCCCCAAGCTCACCCGTGCTCACCCCCAGGCCTTTGCACTGCCTCTCTCCCTCCCCCTCCTCCTGCCTGCCTGGCCGCTTCTATTTTTTGATTTATGGCTAAAGGGGTGGTTTTGTGGCAGAGCACAGACGTCTGGGTAACCCAACAGCATGGGAACCTACTGGAATCTATTCTGCCTGCTGGAAGAGCTGTGAGCACCCGTGGCATCACGCTGGAGATGTCAGGTGGTCGGCAGGGCCGCAGAGTGGCGGCCGGAGCTGCGGGGGTGATGCTGGTGGCCCTGGTCGGCCCGCTCCTTCTGCAGACCCGCCTGGCTGCAGTCTGTCCCCTTCCAGGCATGTTCCTTTTTCCCGACATGCCCAGCGCGTAGGTCCCTGGCTGGCAGAGGTCTAGCCTGTTTCCAGCTGCCCGTCGCCCCCCCTCCCCCCCCCCCCAGAGCACAGACAGCCCCCATCCTCATTTATCCCGCACGGCGCCCCTCCCCCAGGACGCTGAATTCCGCAGGTGTTCTCAGCTTCCCTCCGGCCCTGCACATCCTCACCTGCAGGTGGTGGGGAGGGGAGGATAGATGCAGAAGTTAAAAAGGAATGGTACGAATGAACTTATTTACACACAGAAAGAGTCTCACAGACTTAGAGAATGAAATTATGGCTACCAGTGGGCGGCAAGGGTGGAGGAGAGGGACGGTTAGGGAGTTTGGGATGGACATGTATACACAGCTATATGTAAAATGGATTACCAGCAAGGATTACTGTAAAGCACGTGGAACTCTGCTCAACGTTATGTGGCAGCCTGGATGGGACGGGAGTTTGGAGGAGAACGGATACATGAATATATACGACTGAGTCCCTTTGCTGCTCACCTGAAACTACAAAATCATTAATTGGCTGTTCAGTTCAGTTCAGTCGCTCATTTGTGCAGTCGGAAACGACGACAGCATGCCAGGCCCCCCTGTCCATCACCAACTCCCAGAGCTTGCTCAAACTCATGTCCATCAAGTCAGTGATGCCATCCAACCATCTCATCCTCTGTCATCCCCTTCTCCTTCTGCCTTCAATCTTTCCCAGCATCAGGGTTTTTTCCAATGAGTCAGTTCTTCACATCAGGCGGCCAAAGTATTGGAGTTTCAGCTTCAGCATCAGTCCTTCCAATGAATATACAGGACTGATTTCCTTTAGGATTGACTGATTTGATCCTATACTCCAATATGAAATTAAAAGTTTTTTTTATAAAAAGCAAAATAGTAAGGATGTGATTAAGGTCCTTCCCAGCTCTGAGATCCTTGAATCAGAGCCTCATTGGGGGATGAAGGAAGCATGGACTGACAGGTTTAGTTCAGATCCATTCAGCTGTGGCACCTTAAGTAAATTACTTAACCTCTCTGAGATATCCATCCCCAATCCCTCTCAATCTCCAGCTACCCCAGGAATAATAATCCCTGGCTGGCAGAGGAGCTCTGGGAAGCAGAGAGAATGGCTGTGAAGAGTTTAGGAGATTACTGATACTAAAAAAACAGCAGCTATAATTACAATCATTATGAGAATTCTGAGCTATTTAAACTCCACAGTTAAAGGGGGACATTTTAAAAGTTCAAAGCCATTTAAGATGAATCAGGTACAGTGCACACGGCCACTGTCTCCCAGGGTGAATTATTTGCCCTGAAAGGGGTGATCGATAGAGATTACTGGCTTGCAGAAGGAAATAAGTTTCAAAGAACCCCATCAGCACGTCTACTCTTAATTAGGTGTCATTTTTCTCTGTTCACCTAGAAAGAACTAACGCCTGGGTTTGCAGGGGTGAGGTGGATTGCGAGGGGGGTGACAGCTTAGAGGATTCCTGCAGATTACGGAGAGGGGAGAGGGTCAGTGGGGAAGTCAGGAGGAAACACTGATCTCCCCCAGGGGTGGGTGCCCCAGCCAGGCCAGCGGCATCCTCCCGAGTCACCTGTGTTCAGAGTCACCTCTGTTTTGGACATCACTGTGTTTCAGACTCGGGACCAGGCTCCGTGACGTGCACAGTCTGCAAGCCCCTGTTGGCTGCCAACTGGCCCCCGAGGCGAGGGGCACCCAGAGCCCGGGTGAGCTGCTGGCACGGCGGTCGGGCAGCTCCGAGCAGGAGCTGGCGGAAGCGTGTGGACAGGAGGGGCTTCTGTCTCTCACCGACATCTGGCCCCTCCACTTTCGGGGCCATTCTTCAGCACCGCCCCATCCGTCTCTTCGGGTCGCCTTGATGGCCTCCCAGGAGAGGGACACGCCCCCTTTTCAGGGCAGCCTGTG